GGCACAGGCCCTGCCTCACGGTCACGACCCCTCTGGCGCCCCTCCAGGGGCCCCCCAGTCTGTCTGTGGGTGTGGGGGCAGCTCCTGAGACGACTTCTCCCCTCCTGTGAGTGACTGAGCTGCACCCCCAGGACCGCATGTGCAAGCAAACACACTGCTCATGCCGCAGGTGGAAATGGCGGCGACAGGGCCCCCCAGAAGAGAAGGGTCATCTGTGTCCTCCTGTGAGCTCCCACAGGAAGCGGACTGCAGACGCTGCTACAGCGGACACCCCAAGATGGCTGAGCCCGTGCTCCCCTGGACAGAGAGACCGGTGTGGCTAAAGGCCAGCTGGGATCCACACGGTTCACTGGGTCTCGCCTCACACTGAGACCTGCGTCCTGTGCACCTGCACCAGTGGGAAGGGGCAAGGAAGAGCCCGAACCCCAACAAGCACCCCAAGGCCGGCAACTCGCTCACGGCAAGGCTGTGGAGAAGCTGCTTCAGCCAGGAGCCCCCACTCCCATCGTCAGGACTAACAACAATGGAAACTCCCTTGAAGGCCCCAGGAGACCCCAGCAGGACAGTCACGGGAACCCGTGGTCAGGACACGCCTGTCCCGGACAGGGGGTGGGCGGGTCACTGCTGTGTCCCTGCAGGGCTGAGCCCCGGGTCCTTCTCCCCCCACAGCTCCCACCCCTGGTCAACACCGGCTCACCTGGCCCCTCCCTGACCTCACAGCAGCCCCAGGGAACCCTGCCGGGCTCAGGGCGCTCTGGACACCTGCCACGCCAGTCACCCAGAGGGTCCTCTGGTGTGCCCCGACCTCCACGGCCCCGAGCAGGTGCTCGGTAACCCAGGCCCAGTACTGTGAGGCCCCTAAATGCTTCCTGCTGAACCTCCATCCTGGTGGGGGTCCCATGCACCCCACACCCCTGACAAACCTACGAAAGACAGGAGAGTCTCCCAGAGACATCACAGGAAGCTGAGCCCCTACGTGCATCCCTGGACGGAGCCCCAAAGTGGAGCCCGGGCGCTGGGAAACAGCAGGAGGAGGGACCCATAGTTTTGGGCAGACTCCACCAGAAACACCCCTCCCTGGTCCCTGGGGCTGAGTCTCCCCTAGCCACAAAGCTCCCCAAAAGCAGCTGGGCTGGCTGATTTGCATACCGGCAACTATTTCCACAAGGGATAAGACCAGCCGGGGGACCCTGCCCGCCTCAGCCTGAGCAGCTCAGAGCCCGCCATGGCCTGGACCTGTCTCCTCCTGGGCCTCCTGGCTCTCTGCGCAGGTGCTGGCCGGGTCTCTGCCCCCGTCAGGGATGTGGCCGAGCCGGCGACTCTGAGCTCAGCAGGCAGCTGTGGGGTGCTGAGGATTGTGCTCAGGATGGGGGTGGTAGGCAGAGACCCCACAGTGCTCACCACTCTGCGTGAGACTGGGTCTGTGCTGTCAGAGAAAGTCGGGGACCAGCTCGCTCAAATGCCCCTGCCCCTGGCCAGGCCCAGGACTCGCTGAGGCTGAGCACGACGAGAGTTTGCTGCGCTCAGGGGCCCTGGGCCAAGATGGCCGCGCTGGAAGGCTCCTCTGGG